AATTGGCCCAGGTAGCAACAGGTGTACAAATGCCCCAAGACTGTGTACAAAGAATCATCAGGGTAGGAAAGAAAAGCCTACCATCTGTTCTGGCCAGAGGGATGGAGATAGATGTCAATTCTGCCACAATTACTGAAGATGATTGGAGAAATCCTATCATGACCTATCTACGATATCCAACTTTGCCCTCTGAGAAGAGAGTCAGAATCATGGCTTTAAACTACCTTATGTGGAATGAAGATTTGGTCCGAAAGAGCAAGGATGAGGTGCTTTTAAGGTGCCTCGGAAAGGAAGAATACATGAAAGTTATGGGGGAAACCCATGAAGGAATCTGTGGAGCGCATCAAGGTGGGAGAAAAATGTGCTGGTTAATTAGGAGATATGGCTACTTCTGGCCAACCATGATGAAAGATTGCATTAACTATTCCAAGGGGTGTGAATCTTGTCAAAGACACGGCCCCGTCCAGCAGGCTCCATCAGTTCCCATGAATCCAGTGGTAAAACCATGGCCCTTTAGAGGATGGGCAATGGATCTCATTGGTAAGATCTATCCAGCCAGCAGCCAGCAGCACTGCTTTATCATTGTTGCCACAGACTATTTCACTAAGTGGGTGGAAGCCAAGGCTGTTAAATCTACTACATCTCAAGAGATCATCACTTTCATAGAAGAGCAGATTATCCAAAGATTTGGCATCCCAGAATCAATCACAACTGATAGAGGATCCTCCTTCATATCCGGAGAAATGCTGGACATGGCAGAGGCATTCAAAATCAGACTGCTCCAGTCCACTCCTTATTATGCCCAAGCCAATGGACAGGCGGAATCAAGCAACAAAGTGATCATCAACATTATCAGGAAAATGCTTGAGAAGAATCCGAAACAATGGCATGAGAAGCTGTCAGAAACTCTGTGGGCATATAGAACTTCAAAAAGAGAAGCGACTGGCATGACTCCCTATGCGTTAACCTACGGTCATGATGCAATTCTGCCTATGGAGATAGCTGTTCAGTCCCTCAGAATTGCTCACCAACATGACTTAGTAGGAGAAAACTACTCCCATGCTATGCTGCTGGAACTGGAAGGATTGGATGCAGGCAGAATAGACACTCTCAACAAACTCCTGGCAGGAAAACAGGCTGTATCAAGGGCCTACAACAAGAGAGTCAGGGACAAGAGTTTTGAAGAAGGGGAGATAGTCTGGAAGGCAGTTCTGCCCCTCGGAACCCATGTGGCTGGTTATGGAAAATGGTCACCTACATGGGAAGGCCCTTTCATAATCAACCAGATCCTCGGAATGGGGGCATACAGGTTGCAGGATAGGGATGGAGAAGTTCATACGGCCCCAATCAATGGCAAATGGTTAAAAAAGTTTTATCCAACCATGTGGGATGCGCAGGCTGTACAAACAGACCCCGGGATAGACACAAGATTACACTAGAAATCTTTTGGTTCCTTTCAAAATTACCCTTGTTTCTACTTCTGTCTTTTAAGTTTGTCCCTTTTTTGTTGTACTTCCACTTCTGCCTTTAAGTTTGTCCTTTGTTTCTACTTCTGTCTTTTAAGTTTGTCTTTTTTTTGTTGTACTTCCACTTCTGCCTTTAAGTTTGTCCTTTGTTTCTACTTCTGTCTTTTAAGTTTGTCTTCAGTTCTGCCTAAAAACAGTTTAAATTCCATCAGTTCTGCCTAAAAACAGTTTAAATTCCATCAGTTCTGCCTAAAAACAGTTTAAATTCCATCAGTTCTGCCTAAAAACAGTTTAAATTCCATCAGTTCTGCCTAAAAACAGTTTAAATTCCATCAGTTCTGCCTAAAAACAGTTTAAATTCCATCAGTTCTGCCTAAAAACAGTTTAAATTCCATCAGTTCTGCCTAAAAACAGTTTAAATTCCATCAGTTCTGCCTAAAAACAGTTTAAATTCCATCAGTTCTGCCTAAAAACAGTTTAAATTCCATCAGTTCTGCCTAAAAACAGTTTAAATTCCATCAGTTCTGCCTAAAAACAGTTTAAATTCCATCAGTTCTGCCTAAAAACAGTTTAAATTCCATCAGTTCTGCCTAAAAACAGTTTAAATTCCATCAGTTCTGCCTAAAAACAGTTTAAATTCCATCAGTTCTGCCTAAAAACAGTTTAAATTCCATCAGTTCTGCCTAAAAACAGTTTAAATTCCATCAGTTCTGCCTAAAAACAGTTTAAATTCCATCAGTTCTGCCTAAAAACAGTTTAAATTCCATCAGTTCTGCCTAAAAACAGTTTAAATTCCATCAGTTCTGCCTAAAAACAGTTTAAATTCCATCAGTTCTGCCTAAAAACAGTTTAAATTCCATCAGTTCTGCCTAAAAACAGTTTAAATTCCATCAGTTCTGCCTAAAAACAGTTTAAATTCCATCAGTTCTGCCTAAAAACAGTTTAAATTCCATCAGTTCTGCCTAAAAACAGTTTAAATTCCATCAGTTCTGCCTAAAAACAGTTTAAATTCCATCAGTTCTGCCTAAAAACAGTTTAAATTCCATCAGTTCTGCCTAAAAACAGTTTAAATTCCATCAGTTCTGCCTAAAAACAGTTTAAATTCCATCAGTTCTGCCTAAAAACAGTTTAAATTCCATCAGTTCTGCCTAAAAACAGTTTAAATTCCATCAGTTCTGCCTAAAAACAGTTTAAATTCCATCAGTTCTGCCTAAAAACAGTTTAAATTCCATCAGTTCTGCCTAAAAACAGTTTAAATTCCATCAGTTCTGCCTAAAAACAGTTTAAATTCCATCAGTTCTGCCTAAAAACAGTTTAAATTCCATCAGTTCTGCCTAAAAACAGTTTAAATTCCATCAGTTCTGCCTAAAAACAGTTTAAATTCCATCAGTTCTGCCTAAAAACAGTTTAAATTCCATCAGTTCTGCCTAAAAACAGTTTAAATTCCATCAGTTCTGCCTAAAAACAGTTTAAATTCCATCAGTTCTGCCTAAAAACAGTTTAAATTCCATCAGTTCTGCCTAAAAACAGTTTAAATTCCATCAGTTCTGCCTAAAAACAGTTTAAATTCCATCAGTTCTGCCTGAAACAGTTTAAATTCCATCAACCATTCTGGCCAGAACAGCCTTTTTATACTGAGATAAATTGTTAAAGTCCTCACCCGTCTGAGGCAAGAAAAGAACTTACTTGGGAGATATTCCTCACCCAAATTCACAATCGTTTGTTTGCAGAAATCAGTAACTTGGGGCGCAAGTTATCTACTCCAAACTAAGTCTGCTAGAATTTGTATTGCTAGCAGTGGCACGCTCGCACACCAAAGAAAGCTGACTTGTCAACCAGTTTATGGTTCTCAAGGCAGTGGGGAACTTTGCCCTTCCATCACAGGAGTGAACGCAAAACGGGCAAACATTAAGGAATAAAAGCCGCCAAAAATTATCTTGAGAAAATGATTATTCCGAAAAACCATTTTTCATACTTAGTCAATATTGCACCTCTGCTAAAAAATTTCTGGGTCCGCCATGATGCAATTGGAATTAGTTGGTGAAATGGTGGACCAGGAATATTTACAGGGATAGGCTAATTTTTATTTTTTATTTTTATTGGAATCAATTATAAGTCTTATTTTCAAATATATATATATATATATATATATAGTGAGCTTCGATTGAGGGATTTCTCGATAAGTTTATTTGAGGGATACCCTGGCAGGGCCCCACCGTATATTGTATTTCATTAATTCAAACTATTTATTTTTGTAAATATTCATTCGAAGATCATCTCTACAAAAAATCACTTGAATATGATATCATTTGACCACTTAATTAAATTATTGAAATTTTAATACTTTCTTGAAGAACCGTGTTCATTATTTTTGTAGGACACACTAGATGTCTAAATGGTTTCCGATTTGTCTAATTTTTTTAAAGAATGATCTATGAATGAAGACTTAAAAAATAGATGATTTCGATTGTTGGAAAAAAATTTGTAGGGTACCTTAAATAGTGTTCTTCAAATAAAATTATTCGAGGGATCCCTCAATTGAAGGGGAGTGTATATAAATATATATATATATATATATACAAATCCATATTTTCTTCAGATCAATGAAAGTGGTATACTTTTGTACTAATTCAGTATATTTCCTTCAAATTTAAAACTATTTTCAAAATTCATTAAAAATATATATATATTTTCAGAGAGATATCTGAACAAAGAAACCTGCAACAAACAAAGAAAACCTAGAAAACCCAAAATTCAGAGGCTAAGACGAAGATTGGTTTTGTTATTGGTTGGGTGACGGACCTCCTTGGCTCCTAGATGGTGTTAGGGAGGATTGGTCTCGTTTTGTCTAACTTTGTAATAGGGTTGTTGACTCTTTTGTTTAGTCATTAGTATGGGTGGTGCTCTTTCCTACCCCGGCATTTTATCCCTTGTGGTTTTCCCAGGGAAGTTTTTAACAAAGTCACCATTAACATGCTCGTTCTTACCATGTAATGTTCTCTTTGGGTTGAATGCAATATCATTTTCTCTATAATAATTTAAAAAAAAAAAAAAAAAAGAGGCTAACACGAAGAACAATTTGAAGCTCGAGGATTTTGGCTCATTAATGGAGTGGTTAGTTAGGGAGGGTCCATATTTCAAAATTTCCAAAAGAAGCAACATCAATAAATTTGAAACAACAAAATCAGAGAGACATATAAACATTATTTGAGCCAAATCAAAAACTAAATAAACCAAAGAAGCGAGGAAAAAAAATTAGTAATTGAAGTATTAAAGTATTTGGCTGTAGATGGGGTTGCTTTCTAGAAAAAGTGGTGGGCTTAATTTATTTTGGATTGAGTTTACACAATTAAGCCTAATTTATCTCTCTCTAAAGTCAACACTAGGCTAGAGTCCACCCTAGCCCAAACATGGATCCGCCCTTGATTGGTGATGTTGAATTGAACGTATAGAAAAGCACCTTTCTTGTTTTTCTATATTAGTCCCTTTTGCCAACGAGATCTGGCCTAGTAGAAAAAGGCATTGACCTGCATACCAAAGTTCTATTGTATTACATGTACATTGAAAACTAAAACGTACTAGACCTTTCAACTCAACTCAAGCACACATTTGTGATACATAAGAGACTGATTCATTATTATTGCATAAACACATACACATGGCCTAATTCAGAGCTTGAAATAGTCAAGTGCAGAGACCCCATTGAGGCCTTTCTTGTAGTAGTACACAAGAAAATCATTCAAAGTGGTTTGTCGGTAAATTGGGGGATTTTCTTCTGATGCCAACTCCTTGATTGGCTCGTAAAGTCTTGACGACGACTTCCCCGGTGAAAAATGTCTGAAAAAACATCCCACAGAAATTCTTGGTCCTTCGTTTTTAGCCAAGACCCTGTGGTTGACGCTTATGAACTTGTCGTTTGAGATTAGCTGCACCAAAACACAAGCGTTAGAAACTATATTTTCAAAATAGAATGTCACAATCCATTTGTAAGCTGAGAAATATATTAGGGTGGTTGCCTGCAAAAGATCTCCAATGTTCACTACAAGAGCTTCAGCCACAGGAGGTACATCAATCCACTGATTTTCACACAGAACCTGGAGCCCACCAACATGGTCTTGAAGTAGGATGGTGAGAAAAGAAGGATCCGAGTGTTGGCTAGTTCCCATTGTCAGCTCAGGCTCAGGGCATGGAGGATAGTAGTGGCTAACAATAAGAGGCCCTTTTGCACAATCCATGCCTATAAGGTGCTCAGATTTGAGCCCGAGTGCCTCTGATAGCAATTCAAACAAAGTGACACCTAGTTTGTCAACTTGTTCGGAGTATTCCATAGTTATGTCTCTGCAAATTAAACCCAAAAAAATAAAATCATAAATCAATGTTCCATATTTATAACATATCTAAAAGTCATAGTACTTTTTCAAGTTAGAATATACATAACACTAAATATTAGTATCCTTTGGCAAAAATATATTGTCAAACTGTTGATCTATCAGACACACACTCGATACGGCATGCTATGTTAACAAACTATTAGTATACAATCAATTGAATCAATCATGTAGAGGCATCAAATTTATTCACCAATTATATGTTCATTCAATGTACCTGCAAACCACAGGCAATTCTTGAGGATCAATAGGATCAGGACCCATAACACAAAACAGACTGTCCCTCCAATTAGCAAACCTTGACTTATACAAATCAAAGTTACTCCCAAACTTGACCGTCCAGCCCGGCCCAGTCCTATAGTACTCAGCCTTCACCTCCATTGGCAGCTCGTGGAAATCACGCGCGGCCTTCAACATCTCCTTCAACACTCTCTTGGGTATTCCATGGTTCACCACCTGGAAGAACCCAACGGTCTCCGCAGCCCGCCGGACTCTGGCAACTACGTCATCATGCCTGCTGGCAGTATCAGCAAGGTCCACGACCGGAATACTGAATTGGGTTTGGGTTGGTTGGCCGGAACTTGGGTCGTCGCCTGCGGAATCTTCCGGTGGCCGCACGAAAATTGGTGGGATTTTTGTGATGCCACCATCGACTATCCCTTTGACACCAGCTTTAGACTCGTCAAAGGCCTTTAGCTGTTGAAGACGGTCTTGGTTGCTTGAGTTCCAACTTCCCAGAAACCATTAAATCAGGTAACTTATATATTGCTTCAAAGGCAGAAGAGAAGCTTTGCCTGAAGGCTATTGCAATTGCATCATATATATATATGGAAGTTTACATGTGCTAGCTTATGTTAATGGACTTACTAAAGTCAACAATGTTTGGCTATAACCACCCTGTATTCTTCCTTCTACAGGGACATGGGGAAGACAATTAATTGGCAAATGTGTGGCTGTGGTGATAGGATTTAACGTGGATCTGTCTTCACAAATGAAGAGCGGATTGATAAATATTTCAATTTTTTTTTTTTAAAAAAAATTTATT